AAACACAAAGGGGATCGTATATGACTAACGGCTAAATGTATTCGACCCACGGCTAAATACGATCCACTTGTGTTCTACATAAAGGTGGAGCGTGAGCTGAGTGGTAGGCAGACGTCTGCATGTGGTTGCCACCTTCTCAGGTGGTGTCTTCAGCCATCTCAGTATAGAATTTGAAATCATTCATTTCAAAATTCAACAAGGTAAGTTACACTCAAGTGACGTCAAACTTATATCTAGCTCTAGCTCTGAAAAAGAGGAGGGATATTTTCGAGATGGTACCGTGCAGCAGCAGTGCAATAATAATGCGGTAAAACCCATGACGAAGAGCAATCGAATTCATGCTTGCTCTTTATTAGTACGAAATAATGAGAATTTCAAAGTACGCAGACAGTAGTCAATCCGATAAATATACACAAACATATTCGCGCCAATTGGGTATGCCATCAGGGTACAGCATCGTGATGTGTGAAATAGTGGTGTCAGTACGACCCCCCTCCCCCCTTCCCCAACACCTACCTACCACTTTCCTACAAGTTCCCAGCTTCCTACCAGTTTTTCACCGAAAAGTTTTACGTCGAGCGGGCGGTATATAGCCAGTGTGAAAGGGGAAAACCGCGAAAAGTCAACAACCGGGAAAAATTTTCTTCCAACGCGGCAAATTTCTCTCACATACGACCCCTCCCTCCCCAGCGGCCATGTACGACCCAACCCTCACAATGTGTTTCACACAACGATATTCCATTTCCCAGAATACCATTTTCAGAGCGTATGCTGAGGATTCCCACCGAGGTAAGTCGCATTTGGTCGCTGGACGGAGGGGGGGGGGTCGTATTTGCTCAACAAAAATTCTTCTTCTTGACTATTCTTGGCTTTTTCCGTTTCACGTGTACTCAAAACTGCAAGCGAAAAAAAAAGAACGGGAAAATAGCTTACTTGATCAGGATTTTGATGAAATCAGTGATAGTTAACATTCCAGTGAAACGCTGTTTTTCACTGTCCCACAAAGGTGCGGCACGAACTCCGTTATACACCAGAGCGAAAAACGCCTTCCTCACCTGGAAAAATAGTAATTTAGCCCTTCATAGCTTCAGAGAAGGAAAAACAGAACGAAAAAGAAGAAGGAATGGAAGAAGTAAAAAAAAGGGGAACAAAAATTTAAAGAAAATGAAAAAAAAAACAACTAACCGGCAATTGCGTGTCGAAAACGACCAGTTTCGTAGACGTCGGTATCAGATCGTAACATTTATGAGCTTTCATAAATAACGAGTAAACTGCATCCTGGCAATCTGAAGGATAAAATAATTGATCAAAAGAATAAGTTAAGAAGGTTTGAAAAATAACTTTTAGGGTTTTCAAACCCTCAGGTTTCATCAAACCCCACCAAAAAAGACGGCATTAATGTCCGCTGCGGCGGAACCGATTGTCATCGAATCGAACGAATTGAACATTGCCGTCTGAAAATTTAATTGAATGAATTTTAGACACTACTTACGGTGATCAAGTGCCGAGTGCCATGCTTGGAAGTCAAATACCGGATCGTATAATGGTGCACGTGCTATCGGTGAAATGCGACTTGGTTGTGCACTTTGACGTCTTCTTGGCAGTTTCAGAATAATCACCGGTGGCGCTGCAGGGCCAGTGGGTTGAACTAGCGCCAAGTGACCTTCAACGTCCACATGAAGATGATGTCCAACACGGCTACGGCCATAGTGGCCTGTGGCCGGCAGCGATTTCACCGTATCGTAATTCGTCTGTGTATAGTCATCTTCTTCGATGACGATACTTTCGGCATCACGCGCTCGAGCTGATTTTGACTTCTGTCCAAACAGAGTACGTCGAATGGTGCCGGTGGCCCGTGAGCGCGCTTGGGCTACCCAGTTCGAGGCCTTTTTCGATTTCTTCCGCTGTTGCTGAGACGGTTGCGCTTCGAGGAGCTCGTTCGGCGTCGTTCTGCTCGATTGAGAAACCATTTTTGATTGAAGCTGATTGAAAAGAGATATTCAGAAGAGTCAATTGACGGAAAGACGTCGACCGCGTTTATAGGAATACAGAGTGAGAGCAGTCTGTGTAGACCGAATCAAGTAGTGGCAGACGCAGACACGAACATATGACTCATCTTCTCATTTTCGAGACCGATTCACTTGGCCAGCACACGGAAAAGGAGAAGAACTGAAACGTCATCGAGTCAGAGCAAATCCCGAGCAGAAAACTGTGACGGTACGGTAACGTGACGTGAAAATAGCGAAGGCATGAGCACATATTAGAGGCGACGGCTATGGCTAGTGATTGGAGGGCGAACCAATTTGTTCAACTGATTGAGTAAAATCGCAAAGACTGGAGGAAAAAGAAAGAAAGAAAAGAAAAAATATCATGTGGTCAGGGGCAAAGTTAGTCTTCAGCGTGATTGCCCTACACTACAGCTATCCCTAATGTGACCACCCTGCTAGAATCCAATCTTCCACTAATTTCTTTTTTCTTCTTCAATTTTTCCAGCAAAAAAAACTAGTACGACCTGGGTGGGAGTGAGGGGATGGTGTGGAGCGTTTCTTGCAAGTGACGGCATGCCTTCTTGCAAGGCCTAATTTGATGCACTCGCCGCGACTTACCTGGCTCTCCACATCCGGGAAAGGCCAAAAACGAAAAAATCCGTGGTCAACCGAATGTCTCCGACTCCAGACCCTGCTCCAAAAACTAAATATGACCCCTCAATGTTTATGATTTTTGCAGCAGTGTTTTATCATAGAGAGGCTAGCAGGTTAGATAGCTGTAAGAGAACAGTAGGAAATCTTGTGGCAGTAATTTACCACTGCACAGTCAATCACTCTGAAGCAACGGAAAGTGAAACAAGCACGGAGGTATCGATCAGTTCGATGTTCGCGGAATAGGATTAGAAAATCGATCAACAAATTCAGAAGCGCAAATCAATGTGAAACTCGAGAAACTAATGGATTTAACAGAAAAGCTAGGCCTACACCCCGGAAGATATGGTAAAAGGTGGTCATTTTTAAGAGAAGCAGTCAAACTCTCGGCGCGGTCGGCTTGATGGGCGCACCAGATGGTACCCAGCGAAGCAGTATAGGCCAGTAGTACAGGATATTATGTCAAGACCTGTGAACTCCTACGACCGAAGTGGTTCACTCAAACAATTCCGCAGATAGGGTATGGCAGATAGGGGAAGGGCGGGAGGGGGGTGAGTGTGCGTTCGAGGAAAGTTGCTGCGTTGGGAAAAAATTTTTCCCGGTTGTTGACTTTTCGTAATTTTTTTGTTTCACACTATGTGTACTATATACCCCCCCCCTCCCTGCTCAATAGCAAAATTTGGAGAAAAGTAGGAAAATTCTCGGTAAATTCCAGACAGAGTGTAGGCAAGTTCAGTATAACTTTGAAAAATTTTCAGGCCCCGGTTCACATTACGCTGTGAACCACTCACCCTCCCGGCTCGATGGAAAATTTTGGGTGAAAACTGGACTAGAAATGCGGGAAATTGAGAAAATTGGAGGTAGGTGTTGGGAAGGGGGAGGGACGTACCGTAGACCTTCATTTAGGTGTTGGGGGGGGGTCTGTGACACCCCTTCCAAGGGGGGGGAAGTCATACCCACACCCGCATTACACATATCATGATGCTGTACCGTGTCCGCAGCATCACAGGAGTTGATAGTTCCGACCAAAATGAGACCTGCTAGTTAACATTAACTAAGAAAAGAAACCAATTAAAGTGCAAAAATGCCCCCTCTGAGCCGAACAGCTACGCATTCTTATTAAAACCCACTTCTACGTGGAAAACAGCACACAGGAACGTCGAAAAAAACGCGCTCATCAAACATTGAACTCCTCTCAGATCTACACAAGCCACTGAGCAAATGTTTGCATTGATTTCTCAAGAAGAAAAGGAGACGTCTTTTTCGAATAACTTCGTTTTCACCCTTAACTCAATGTAAGAACACCCCAAAGAACAAACTGGCGATGAACATTTCAGCAGAACCTTCTAGCAAACCCAACTAAGCTTTACATTTTGATTCGTGGATCTTCTAGACCCCATTACAATCTCATGTAACAGTTGAGAACAGAACTTGTTTACATAAAACCTCTCCGCTAAATTCTTCATACAACGCGACGCTTTTCGCTTGCTAATCCTATGGCAGGGGCAAATTCTATTCAGATCCAAATGGCACTCATGAATCCCTGGCCTTCAGCGAGAAAAAGACGAAATGTCTTGACTAGTACTTCTAAATATGAATCGACATTTATAGTTATGTTTTGTTGATGCAACAAGTTTCGAGCCGACCAAACCTACAGGGTGCGCCACTCATTCTACTCCCACTCAGATTCATATGGGCATTTTGAATGCTATACGGCTTAAACAATGAATTTCGGGACAGTGTACGGCACTAATGAGAGAGGATCAAAGGGGGGAGGGCGCGTCTGGTGATTAGTGGAGAGCCTTGCGACCTTCAGAAGAATTCTATGAGGAGCAAAGAACATTTTTTCCGGCGTTGATTTTCTCCGCGTCTTCGCTATATGCCCCCTTCGCCTCGTGTTACACCAGTTTTGGGACGAGAGCTTGGGGAGTTGGTGGGATAACCCCCTTCGCCCCGCTTCACGTCAGTTTCGGGCGAGGGGGGAGGGGTTGTGGAATTTGTTAGACTACGGGGATTCGGAAGGATCTAGTAATGCGGTAGGTATGTTAAGGTATGTTGTGAGACTACTGGAATAGGTAGCCAGGGGAGGGGTCGTAATGACCATGTTTCGGAAGCCATTCAATATCGATCACGAATCTTTATCCTCCCGCACAACTCAAGTACCAACTAAACGACTCCTGAGGGATGAAAGCTTTGGTCGCCTCAGGCAGGAGTCGACTGAAGCTACGACCCCCCCCTCCCGAACATGTGTGGTAAGTGGCGCCATTTGCTACTACACCACCTCTGCAAAAATCCGTGTTATTGACACAAAATCTTCAAGGTAACCAACGGAAGTACAGGAGAAATAAACCTGCCAGGTAAGATCCGTAGAGCACATAAAACTTATAGAACTTCGAGGTCAACGGGTGCAGCGCGAGAGCTCCAAAAACACGGTGTTCCAGTCCGAAACACTTTTACAGCCTCTACCGTATGTCATTTCCATTTTATGGCCTCCTGATCCAACCAAAATGCATTCCTTGCAAGCGCTGCATAACACTTAATTCATACAAACTATATACGAACATAGCTGGACAAACAGAGGAGAATGGAAGGCGGGTACGGATCTCAATCGTGAAAAAATACCTCAGCAAACACTGCGCGACCACCCACCTTATAGCATCACCGTTCAAGTTTGCTTACTGCATTTAAAAGATCAGTCAGGGAGCAACTTAAGGCTTGTTCGCTGCGGATGCGGGGGCGTGTCAGTGAGGACGGGTCTGGCCCGTTCTTCACCAGTTGTTGAAGCGAGTAAGCAAAAACAATCGGGAAGAACGACTAACACGAAAGACATGGTACAGTCTTATGGCTTTTCAAAAAAAAGACTTTCCTCAAAAGTCCAAAAAAGAGAAGAATTCGGAACAGCTAGTTTTCCAAGAAACTGTAGAACTGTGACAGCTGACTGCAAATTTCCCACGAGCAATGCTTGAGAGAAGTTTCGCAAGGGAAAAGAGACCGGCTAGGAAATGGCGATCATTAATACTAGATAGAGACAGCAAGATAAACAAATAGGAAGGAGGAGCGGGAAACGAGGGCGAACAAAATGAGATGCAGAAAATTGTGAGCCTGAAATAAATGGAATATTGAGCTGTACAGACTGGATAACGGGGCCATTCAAAACGAGATGAGTTACAAAATGAAATG